ATTCTTTTTCGTCATTTGACTTTAATTTTATGCGCTACTATCAGATTTTGCTATTACGTATATTCGAAGGTAACAGTGTTTGCTAATAATTCTTCTTGACTGATGATTATCTAAACTTACATCATAATTATTATATAAAACTTAGGTTTTGCGCTGGATCTTCTTATACTCTTAAATATTATCGTTTCCATACGGCAATTTTTGTTGTTTTTTATTCTTACTATCGTTGCAATGGTAACAGTAATCATTTTTAGAGTAATTCTTATTCATATTAACACATATTCGTGTTTTAATTATTACATTACATTATCAGGGGCACGCATTGTGAGTTTTATGCTTAAAATTTATCCATATGTAAATTTTTAATTGAAATATAAAAATTTAAAATATTAACATAAATTATGCATGTTTAGATTTATTCTCCTTGGTTATTCATCTTACATTGGGTTAAGTCAAACATCGATTGCAACTGGAGGAGAATCTAATAATCCATTTTCAAGCATTATTGGCGCTATGCTTGCAGTATATAACTGGTCTTCAATTTCATTAGATACATGGAATTTTTGGCCACTCACTGTAATTAGTGTGATTGGTAGTTTTATTTTTGTGATTATATTACAAAATGTTATCATTTCATTTATGAGGTATGTACTTAATCGTATAATTATTATTATTCTTATGAATTTTCACTGATTTCTAATCCTTTTAAATAAAGTGATGCTATTACAGGTGCAGTCAAAAATAGAACAGGTATATATAGTTATCAAGTTGATTTTATTTATGATTTTGCTCTTCTTGAAAGATCATTAGAACTTAATGAGTTAGATTCTAAGTTTAAGGACAAATTAAGTGTAAAATACATTTGTTTTTATGATGACCCGACTATCACGGGTTCATGGAAAGAGAAATCTGAACAAATGAAATCAAAACTGAATCCTAAGCTTTCAAAATTACGTAAAAGTGAATTTAAAACTTGGACAATTGAAAATTGTGAATTTATTTGGAGAAAAGAGAAAGAAACCGAAGATTTGTCTCCAGAGGATGAATAGTTCCTTGAAGATTGAGCAATTTTGAAAAAAAAAGCTGGAAGATATTATAAAACAACTTATAACAATCATTTAATTAAACTTATATTGGCTGTATAATTTTTAATACGTATAACTTTTAATACAGTTGACACTATCTTATTGCTTGCAAGAACTTCTAAATTCATTTAGCGTATGTGCATTCAAATTATAAAAACCATTTGTGTGTTAATAATTCAAAACAAAAAAATTATATATATATCATTAAAGAGTATATACAATAGATTATAAAACCATTTTTGTGTTACAAAAATTTTTATGTATTTAAAGAATATATACAATTAGACAGTATGAAAGTTGGCAGCATGCAATTAAACAGTATCGAATGTATATTGAAAATAAATTTAATTAGCTTTTTTGCTAAATAATATTAGTATTGACAATAGGTCTTTAATTGTTCTAATTTTACCACGGTTACTGTCGTATTAAAATGTTCAGTAGACTAATCAATAAATAAAATAGTTATGTAAGCTACCCAGTGTTTTCAAGAAGTTTAAAAAATATTAAGCGAAAACCAAGCATTGACGTTAATAATTTAATTATTAAATTTGCATTTATATTTAATTTGATGCATGAATAAAAGATGCTTTTTGAAGGATATGTTTAGAGATATTTAAAAACCCTTCTTAGCAATGCATATATAAATAAAATATTCTATATTTGGAAAAATGTTATTATGTCATAAATATAAAATTACCCATTTGGGAGGCCTTGTAGCAATGTCATTCTGATCACATGTTTGCGCCACCACATTAGCCTACAAAAAAACCTGAGGTTCGTTAAAGTCTTGTGGGTTACATGCTTTGTATACGTTGATGTGCATGCAAAAATCGTGCAAGCCTTAGAAGAAACTTAAACTATCAAATTTAACGGCCTTTGCCGAGATGGTAGCTATAAAGTATTTGTTTTGCTTTTACAACAACTTAATATAGTAAAAAATAACAAACGAAACATGCAAATAACTATAGTGTAATTAAAGCATCTTGACAATGTGGTTCGCAATTTGTAAGTAATTGGCATCGTATTTTATATATTTCATTTTGATACATCAAGAAACTGTTACCTTCGAATATACGTAATAGCAAAATCTGATAGTAGCGCATAAAATTAAAGTCAAATGACGAAAAAGAAT